TATGAAAATAAAATATGAATTTTATTGTAATTATGTACAATAATGGATGCCATATAAGTGAAAAATTCAAAATAAATACAAAGTGGAGATCTATCATAATACAGGGGGATTGAAAATTAACTGTTTTATATATGGACTCTCCTGTCTAACTAATTTTTACAAGACAGAAGAATCCATCATACATAAAATAGGGTGTTACTTTTCAATCACCCTATAGATCATCCCATCTTAAATAAATCAATATTTTGTGACAATTTTTAACATCTAGAGATTTTGTTAAAAAAAAAAAAAAAAAAAAAAAAAAAAGGCACCCCAGAATAATGCCAAAATGCACAAAAATTTTTCATCCTTTAATAGTCAGTTGCGCTCAGTTTCAATTGTAACTTATTAAATGTAGGTTTAAAAAAAAAAAAAAAAAAATGTTCATAAGTTAACGAGGGTCATAAAACATTGGCCTGTGGCCCCTAATCAGGCTTGACCAACACCCCTGACTGGGACAAGTGTTGAAAGAAGCATAAATATAAAATAGGGAAGCGGGATTGTTCCCCCCCACCACCACCACAAAATGGTTGATGAACCCTTTGTGTTATTTCAAGCTGAAACATTTTGAATTGTAAGAATTGTTTTTTTGTAAGTGAATATTACATTAATATTTGTTTTTGTGAGTTCTACTATTTAACCCATAGCAAGGGAGGGGGAAATGAATTCGAGTAAGTGAATGTAATGAACTGAAATTTGAACTTGCCTTCTAGGTCGCTATCCATTACAACACCTGCATATCCACAGGTGAGAGGGAAATGAAACAGAGGAAGGGGGGGGGGAACTATCCTTCAGGGATTGATAGGAAAATATTTTTTAACAAACCTTCTTCTCCCACAAGAGGAGAAAAATAACAAACACACAGAAAAGTAAATATAAAATGTGTTTATTTGAAAAATCAATTTTCTGTTTGACATTGTTTTTAAAAAAAAAAAAAAAAAACACTTTGTAGCTTATTTACATGATCAAGTCAACAGCTCAAATCTGCTTTAACAGCCATAAGCATCCATCACAGGCCAATATGATTTAAGCCTGAAATTTCATTGGGACTTTTGGCAAACTTGAGGCAACAGGCTGGACTATGTAAAAAGATACATCCCTTTTATGCACGCATACATACTTATACAGAGACAAGTGTTCACTCAGAGGATAGAAATGGAAAAGCAAGTGGGATCTTTTTTCTTTTTTTTGGAGGAGGGGGTAGTATCAGAGAAGAATGCAAAGGGATCAAGGCAAGGTGTTAAACAGGGAGCCAATTCGAGAAACAGCAGTTGGTGAAGGATTTAAAAATTGTTCAAATACTTCCTGATTTGTAAATTCAAAATGACTCATTGTACAGCAAAATCAGATTTGTGTAGCAAGTGTTGTCTAAGAATTAATATACACTTCTTACTAAATAAAAATTCACCATACACTAGAGCCTGTAATGTCTGAGGCAGTCCTGACTAATGATCAAGTTACAAAAATCACCTTCAAAGTTCAGCACTTCATTTAATTTGTTGATATTAATTAACCACAGTATTATATCTGTATTTAAAATAAAATCCATCCATAAGTTTTGTCATGTTACCAAAAAACTTGGGGAGATCAGGAGGGAGGAATACATCCATTTACTTTAAGAATAAAAATTTTACATTTTCAGCAAAGGCTTCAAATTACAATAACGTTTTTTTTTTTTTTTTTTTTTTTTTTAATCACTTTTTTTTTTTTTTTGAATAGAAATTTTTTTTTCAGCAGTTGAAAGAAAGTTTCAGTTTTCTTAAAAATAGAGTTGTCAAATTTTTTGTTGCCAAGCAAACCCTAAAAAATAAAAGTGGACAAATAGAAATGGTCCCAAACATCAAACCCCTTTACTTATTAAAAGTCAGGGATAAAGCAAATTGCACTGATTGGTCAAAAAAAATTTTTTTTTACAGAGAATGGTGGGGTGGGGAGTGAAATTGAATAATTGAGGTACAGAGAAAAGAATTGGGTCGATACAAAAGACATAACACTAGACACTCTCACATATGCTCAGATATATCCAGACAGGTTACAATTCAGGACGATCAGAAGTTTCTCTCTTTTGAAATCCTAGCTCCTCTAGAAGTTTATTGCATTGTTCCTGGCTACGCTCTTTCAGTTCATACCTCTGCAAAAGAAAAGATTTTTTTTTTTTTTTGTCAGATTAAGACAGTAAAATCAAGAGGCTCAATAAGCATGGCAAAAAGCCAGCAGGGAAAGATCTTCAGAAAAGTGACTTTCAGATTGTCAACATTTACATGAACAAATGTATAAAACAATAACAAAACTCAGACATTTCTTTAACATTTTTACTGACAAAAAGTCATTATATAATTATGTCCCCCTTTTAAAACTTTGCACTTGGTCTTCATTTTATCCTCTGCACAATACTGTGACTAATACCTGTGACACTGTAAGAATGCTAATAATATGCAAAGAGAAAAAGCTTAAATTAAATCAAAATCTAACAAAAACAAAAAGGTAGTAGATAGATTGAAAGACATACTGAAAACAAAAGAAAATATACTTTTATTTTTCATTTATGCTGAAATCCACTTGGGCATCTGGTTAAAGTGAGACCCATGACATGTGTGGGGAATGTGGTGACATCCACAAATCAACCAAGGCTGGCATTTCTGGGTCAAGACCACTAAGCTAGTCGCAGATAATAATTTTATGGCTATAATTAGAAGAGAGTAAGGAAATGATTCTATGTCATTTGCTGATGGGGTGGAGGGGGGTGCATGTCACTAAAGAAATAAGATCTTGTTGGATACAATGCAGAATTCAAATGAAGAATTCAGTCAATTGGTAAGATAACAGTTTGGTCAAGCCTCACCTGAAGACAAGGAAAGAATTATTATCTAAGATGAGAAATTTGAAAAATATTAAAAACTTTGACAAAGACATTTCCAATGATGTGAAGTTGAGGCAGCTGAATTTTAATTAACAAACACTTGCTAGTTGTGCCACCCTGTCGAAGAAACCTGATTGGTGAAAGAGAGAGAGAGAGTGGGGGGTGAAATCAAACTATGTCCATTGAGAGGTGTTGGTATAAGGTACAAATAAGAGGAGGAGGGAATAAGTGGAGGAGAGGGTTTCCCCAAATTTAGACAAATTGCTTCACAGGACACCAATCCAGCAATATCTGGTGATGATTCAGCCCTTTCTTACTTTGTGATCAAAACAAACAATGTGGAACAGGGAGAGGCTTGGATCGAAGTGACCAATTCCACAGTTAGCCACAGGATTTGATCATAGATACACTGGTGACCAAGGACAGAACAGTATTGTCATGTAGCGCAGGGACCAGGATGACCCTGCAGCACTATAACCCATTTTCTGGTGATGAAATTGACTTCAGGAAATCCCTTAGACCAGGTGCATTAGCAAAATTAATGCAGCAACATGGAAGCAGGGGGATATAGAAAGCCGATTTTTTTTTTTTTTTTTGGGGGGATGGTACTATAGCCTACCGATTCAAAAATCCATGGCGAGGCGATACATAACTTTTTAATCATTCAGCTCACAAACCTGTATAATACCTTTTTTCCAGCTAATTTGATGAGAAATCCAATTATTACGTTATTTTTAGGATATAAGGACAACTTGACCTAAAAAAATTAGCCTAAAATTCAAAAACTGATTCCTAATATTTGCAACTCCCGAATTTCTGAGTAGCATAAACCTTGATGAAACCAGAATGGTTCATGGGATGATTTTGAATCCCTCATCCACTCTAACATTTTTAGCTCACAAGGGACTCTTGAAGACTTATGGATTATGAATCAGTAGCATCCCTAAAAAAAATAATAATATCAGCTTTCTATATTTTTTCAATGGCCATCTGTAATGCTTCTGGTCAACCTATTGATCTATGCAGGCCAGAAAAAGAAAAAAAAATGTTTGCTCCAAAAGACTTAGAATGGTTTTTAGAAAAAAGGACAATCTTTGTCCTCATAATTTGATATTTACATACTAAAAAAAAAAAAAAAAAAAATACAAGAGTCAAATTTGCACAATATTATTAATTAGCCCTTTCCTTCAATATGATTTATTTTTATTAAAAGGGAAAGAAAATATAAACTTATTAAACTGCATATAAAAAAAAAAATGTTAATGTGTGTCCTTGGCATTGGTTTTACATTCCTCCCTTACCGTGTGTGTGTGTGTGTGTGTGAGTGATCAAGACAAAAAGCTGTGTAAATCAACACGAGAGAGAAAGAGGGAAGAAGAAGAAAAAAAAAAAAAAATTTATAATTATCTAATTGCCTCAAATAAAACAGAACTGGTTGCAAATGTGCAACAAGCTGTAAAATGCATGTGTTCAATGATGCAAGAAAGGTTAGAGATGATAGGTTAAAGAATTCTGTTTACAATTGTCACTATAAATTTGAATTAAAGTAATGAGATATTAAAAAAATATTTTAAACATTCAAACTATAATAAAAAGGAAAGGTTGGCAATGAAAAAAAAAAAAAAAATTAGCCCACAAGGCCATAAGGGAGAACCTAATACGAACCAAACTCACTATATTAGTGAATAGTTTGCAAAATTAGCATACTAACCATTGCACTGAAACAGGAACTGATGATGATGATAATAATAATAATATTAATGTAAAAAAAATTTCCTTAGTATTTCTTAAGATGTTATTTTCAAACTAACATAATTCTTACATCTTGATAGTCAGTTTTTTTTATTACTATAAAAGGTGTTATAATTTTAGTAGATACACATTTTGAAATAGACATCTAGGTTATTCTAGAAATGTAATTGATGTTTACCAGCCTGGGTAATTGAAAGGCTTAATAAGGCCAGGTTGTTTCAGATATGGAAATAACATTAGCAAATAGACTCCAAAAAGGGTCCCAACAATCTGTGTACTCATTTCTTGCTGTGAAGTTTTTCATGGCTGAGCAGGCTAAAGCACACACATCTTGAAGATGGTTTCAGTTGGTTCTCATACAACTACTGAAGTTAAGCAACATCGAGCCTGGTCAGTACCTAGATGGGTGACCACTTGGGAATACCAGGTGTTGTAAGTTTGGATGTGTGGGTGGTGTAATGGATAATGGCTTGGAATTGGAGATCAGGGAACCAAGTTCCAATTGGATTAGTTCTATTCACTTATGTGCAAATACTCTTAGGAAATGTATGTACCCACCCATTCACCCCAACCAGCAATGGGCAATAGTAAGATGTGTATCAGTAAATCATTAGAAAAATTCTCATAATCTAAAAATATTCTGGCTGTAAATAGCCTGTAAACAGGTTGATAAAACATAAAAAAATAAAATCAATCACAGCTGAAAGGCACAATGTCTTGCCCAGACTAGTAAATGTCAAATACAACATCTATATAATAAATGCTAATGTCAGCAGGTCAACTTTACTCAGAGAGAACATAGCCCAACATATAACAACATTTGGAAATCAGGCTGACTTCATGAGCAAATTAACATTCTGGACCCACAATCCTGAAATTTTAGATTCCCAAGTTTTCATTATTGCAATTGTTTGTGGATTCTGCCATCTTGGTTTCTGATAAAAACAATGAAAAGGGACACAACTCTTGAATTTTCAATAGCTCATGTTCAAATAAAAAAAAATTTATCGTTCTCAAATAACAGTGTTCTAAATAAAATTGTCCAGGTTTTCAACTTTAATCCTAGAGGCCATTACCCAACAAATGCCATTTTGGAATCAGATCAACTCCATGAGGAAATTAAAAACATTCAAGGCCAGATCCCACAATCCTAAAAATTTTGTATTCCCAAGTTTACATTACTGCAATTGTTTTTGGCAATTTTTTTTTTATGTGGATTTTTTGTACAATTTAACTTTGAAATAAATTTGGAAATAATTGTAATTAACTGCAACATCCAGTGAAAGTCACCCATGAAATAAAAATAATTATTTGTACGGAAAGTAAAGACCTACACACATGAAATTGTCTTTAAATTAAGTGACATCAGAAGAATTATCATTGAACTTTTAAAAGGTAAGCTTAAATATTAATGCAGCAATCAATTTTGAGTTCTTCCTATCGCATCTACTCCTTCCTACCCTCTTGTGATGAAGAGAGCTCTACACAGTAGCTAACTTAAATGTCGCCCTTTTCAGGTAGATTTTAAAATAGTTAAAAATAAAAAGAAAGTTAATATCCAGTCATATACATGTATCTACTAGAATATAATGTCTACAGAAATAAGAAATAACATTGGATTTTAAAAAATCCAGACATTTATATAAAAGATTTACCTTGATTTCGTTGTCATCCTGATCAAGTAAAACAACTTCAGGTGGTGCCCCTGAAACTGCCTTGAAGGTAACATCTTCACTAAAAATGTGTTAAGGAGACAAAATGAGTGAGAGAGAGAGAAAAATGTATCTGTATTTCTTAGATGAGGTATTATGTACATTTACACTATTGTCCTCATCTTTGTCGCCATATTTATTGCAATGTTTTGGCCATTGTACGCTCCAGCCTTCTTCAGGTGGTTGGAATGTTGAATTGAACCCTTTATTTTGCTCACTAGGGTAGACTGTTCTAGTTCCACGTGCCATGTTTTAAGGGATGTCAGCTATCTCGTGTTAATTTCCCTTTGGAAGTTCTCCACTGCCTTAACTGGGTATTGAACTCACACTCTTTGGGTCCTGTCACTGGATCTAACTAACGCCTTTATCCACTGTGCCATGTGTCCTTGAGAAAAATGTATTTTGTTTCTCCATTGTCTGCTTCTAAGCAGATAAATACCAAGGGTTTTTTTTTTTTTTAAGAGTTGGGGGGGAATAGCAGTATATAGCAGGAAAGACAACACACCGATTAGTGGCAGCAATAACAACCATAGCAAGACCTCTGAAAACTTTGAGAAAAAAAAAAAAAAAAAAAAAAAAAAATATTGATCTGACTTGCACAAAATTTGTTTCACCCAGATACCCACTAAGCAATTTTTAGCATTTTTATTGTCATTAGCTTCTACATAATCATAAATATCATGACCACACCATCCCCACATCAAATATCACAGCTGTCATTTTTATATATTCAAATTTGATTTGCATTTCTAATCACATTTCATTCAGGAGTTCAGTCAAATATGTTAAACATTAGAAATTATCAAATTCTGGTAAACCTAATATCAGAATGCATCCTTCCTGCTCTTCTCTACTTCTGTGACAATTGCCTGCTCTTACTTATAAATATGGCAAGTAGCCACGTCAGAGTAGGATTTTGAGTAGTATTCGACTTACATTTTTTTTTTCTGTTCTTTGTACAAGTATTTAATAAACCGCTTCGTTTCCACTACCTCATCTTCTGTTCCATCGATATTCTAAGGCCTTCCTAATTCGTGGCTATTTTGAACAAAGACAATATTACAATACAGATAACATAAAATCTCAATATTAAAGAAAACCTTTCATGTAGTTAGCCAGACTTTACAATTTTTCTAGAACTCAACAAGGAAACCATTTTACATGTCAAAAGGACTTAATTTTGAAAGGGTACTTTAGCTTATTAATCTAATACATCGATTTAATAAGGCTCTTTTTGTAGACTGATATATATAAACTTAGTCAATACTCAAGATCATTTTTAGTGAATCTAGAAATAAAAACTATTCTTAAATTTACTAAAAGGGATCTTAAAGATTGACTAAGTAGAGAAACATCAGACTACAAAAAGAACACTATTGAATCAATGTACAAGATTCACTGTTTCTTAGACTTTTAGTTGCTTTTAAAGACACTGAAAATGAAGACTTCAACAACCAATACAACTAAACTGCTTGATTAGTTCTTTTATTTGTCCCCAATAAAAGGAGAAGATATTCACAACCTTTATTTTATCTGAACTTTTATTTGAACTTCTGTTATGTGCCTGGTTATTCAAGTTCTCTGAATTTGAAAATCTGTACTGCAGTCCAATTAATCATGACAATGCTAACACTTCAAACATTGTAGAATGAAATTCAGCCACTGATTTTGAAAAGGAAAAAAAAAAAAAAAAAAAAAAAAAAAAAAAAGGCCAATTTCATTCTCTCTTCAACCATCTGTTGCAAAATGTCAATATCTGCTTTAGCCATAATTGACCCAGAAAATAAAATGCCAGGGAAAAAAAAAAATCTATCAAATGTCAAGTTAAATTTGAAAGAGGCATTTTTATTTATTAACAACAGATTCAGAATATGTGGAATGGTGATCTAGCCAGTCTAATACTTTTTCCAAATTGGCTAGGTTTAATTACCTCCCTATTGCTTTTCTCAAGTTCTTTGCTAAAATTCAATATTTGTAAGTTAAAAGATATTATCTGGAAAGATGTATATCTATGTATATATAGATATATATAAGAAAAATTCTGTTTGTAAGAAAGCCGCAGGTCTTGCTTACAAACAGGATGGTTCATAACCATTTTGGTTCTCACTAGTCGAAGTACAATTAAATGCACTGAAACCAAGTTGCATCTTTGTAGTGATTAAGTGGTTTTTGTCTATATGAAAAAATTATAAATTATTGCTCTACTATTGGTTTTCAGCCCACTTTTGGATTAATGCTGTGAACATTAAAATTTATATATTATTTTTGTTTTCATTACATTTGGTTATATATATATATATATATATATATATATATATATATATATATATATATATATATATATATATATATACACACACACGTGTGTGTGTTATTTTTTTTTGTAACTATGTTCCTGTATCATAAATCAATGAACTTTTATTCAAAAGTAATGAAAAAGGCATTAATTTGTTTTAGTTTTTGAAAAAGGTAAAAAAAAAAAAATTCAACTTTACCATATATGCATTAAGTCAGGGAAGATGATTTCAAAAGCTTTATTTTACAAGTCACCAATAATGTAATTGGACAATGCTGATGTATTTTTTTAGCACAACATAACATACAACCTTATAAATAAACAAAAATTGTCTCTGGCTTGGAAATTTAAATCAGAACCTTTTTTTTTTTAACTGAGGCTCAACTGTACTGTAGGGTGGAAGTTATGAAAACCAGTTCAGCCAACGGTGATCTAGTTTATATTTTCATGAACAGAGTTAAGTCTAGGAATTGAGAAATAATTTTATCTCTTCTTTGCAGAATTAATCATTAATGAGAAGAGAGACAGATAGGGCTTATATTTTTGCTGATGAAAACAAATTGGGAAATGTAAGCAAGGAACGAACTATTTTTGAGGGTCAAGGTTAAGAAAACAGATCCTGTCATTGACAAGCAGGTGATCTGGTTTATATTTTCATTGGGCAGAGTTTAAGTCTAGGAATTGAGAAATAATTTTATCTCTTGAGGAATCAAAAGAATTAAAATTAATGACTAGAATAAAATTAGGCCCTTTCGCACACATGCTTTAAAAATTAGATTTGTCACAAAGACAGTTATGCCTGCCCTGGGAAGTAAACTGAGGTTGAATGCTGAGAATGAAGAATTTAGCACCACCTGTATGAAGTGATAGTATGTGATGTAAAGTAAAAAAAAAGTTGAAGTTTAAGGGAGAAGAAATCCCTCTAACTGCTCCCAAGAAGGTGGATAATTCTCCAAATTTGGAAAGTTAAGAAAGCAGAAATGGGGGAACAAATAACATTTATTGGGATTAATGTGAAAGTTTAGGAATCATCAAATCCCACAGAACCCTTGGGTCAAAGTACATATAAGCAGATAGCTTTGAGGGCTTGAAGACTTGCGCTGTGAATCCTGCATCATGCGCTGCTGAAATCTACATCAGCTGCCACCCGATTTTCTGATTCTGAAGAACTTTGAATCCCGAATATGAGGCAAGGGACAGTGTTACTATAGAGATAAATGTGGGAAGGTTTAATTTTTGTTGTACCAAGAACTAAATAAACCAATTGAAGATTGACTCAATGAATCTGGTTTTTATTTTTTCTAGTGAAGATATTTCTTCCCTTAATATAGCACCCACCACAGCGATTACTAGGACATTCAATCTTCCATTAATCCAAGATCCTGATCTTGGATTAATGGAAGTAATGGGCAGAGTTGGAGTGGATTG